AGAGGAAACGGGAGACCTGCAACTCTACAGTGCAGTGGAATTGAAGTGATGACCTATTTAATTCTCCAAGGATTCAATGAAATGAAAAAAAAGAATTGTCTATAAAAAAAGATGGAACTGAAATTCTGTGTATGACCTTAGAGGTCATCAAACGTAACTCGAGATTCTTTTAAAATTCTATATTCTTCCCATTTGGAACTTGGCATTTAAAACCAAAATGCCCAGGGGCGCCTGGGTGGCTCCGTCGGTTGAGCATCCGACTTCGGCTCAGGTCATGATCTCACGGTCTGTGAGTTCGAGCCCCGCGTCGGGCTCTGTGCTGACAGCTCGGAGCCTAGAGCCCGTTTCAGATTCTGTGTCTCCCTCTCTCTCTGCCCCTCCCCTGCTCATGCTCTGTCTCTCTCTGTCTCAAAAATAAATAAACATTAAAAAAAAATAAAAAATAAATAAATAAAACCAAAATGCCCAGGGCGCCTGGGTGGCTCAGTCAGTTAAGTGTCCGATCTCGGCTCAGGTCATGATCTCACGGTCTGTGGGTTCGAGCCCCACGTCGGGCTCTGTGCTGACAGCTCAGAGCCTGGAGCCTGCTTCGGATTCTGTGTGTGTGTGTGTGTGTGTGTGTCTCTCTCTCTGCCCCTCCCCACTTGTGCTCTGTCTTTCTTTCTCTCTCTCTCTCAAAAATAAATAAACGTTAAAAGAAATCAAAAACAAAATGCCTGCTTTCCAACGTACAGCAGTAGTTTGCGACTACGTCGTCCACGAGCCACAATACTGAGCAACACGTCTCAAGTCCGGTGACAAAAGCACCAGTGGGTTGTTTAGGATAAATAAAAAACCCAAGTAATACTGTGTCACAACCACTGGCACCAACAGGATCTGAAATGTTTTTAGTGTGGTATATATGGAATATATATATTGTGACGGACAATGCCAACAGCTGTTATTCGATGAAGAAAAAAACGTGTGAGGATATTGAAATTATATCAGACAAGCAGCAGGTGCTATCCAAATGTGACACGATTTTGGTACATGGCTGTTCCAAGGACTGTTTTGACTTCAAAGTGTAATGGATACAGAGGCGCCCAGGTGGCTGAGTCAGTTAAGGGTCTGACTCTTGACTTCGGCTCAGGTCGTGATCTCACAGTTCGTGGGTTCAAGCCCCGCGTCGGGCTCCATGGTGGCGGTGCAGAGTCTGCTTGAGATTCTCTGTCTTTCTACCCCTCCCCCACTCGCGGGCGCACCCCCCCCCCAAAAAAAAAAAACCCTAAAAATTAAAGTAGAAGTGACACAGTGATGAGGTACGGCTGGTAAAGGCAAAAGAACACCCGCTCAAAGACATTCTTTGGTCAGCCCAGACGCACTATCTGCTTTATGAGACGCCTGCGTTAGCAGTTCACGTTTCTAGTCAGGATCTGTCCCATGAGAGGGCCCTGCTAACGCCACGAGCGCCCGAAGGGAGGTGTTCCTCTCTGGACACAGGTGCAAGGTGCTGCTTAGGGCCGGGCGAGTACCAGGAGAGGATACCACCAGTTGACGACATTCTTAATTAGGGCCATAACGTCTGAGTCGCGCACAGGAACTTAGAGTAACACTGACTTCTATAACGTGTGCTCTTGGGCCACGCTCAAGTTCGTATCAAAATAATAAACCTGGGCGGGCAGTGTTGCACCGAGGCATCCGGCAGAACTGGACCCGAATCCAGGCTTCGTCCTTTCCTGCCTGTGTGACCTTGGAGAAACTACTCAACGTTTCTGTTCTTTCCCGGTGCCCACAGCGTAACAGTTTCACGGTGGTACCGGGAGCGGAGGAGGAGACAACCTGGGCAGCGTGCCTGCTCCTTGTGTTCTACAACCACGGTGGCCCCTCACCGCCGTCCAACAGGCCTTGGGAAGGACAAGAGTGCAACAAGGAGGGTTCCGCTTTCCTCTCCTTCCCCCTGCCCCCGTCCCGCCGTCAGTGCGAGCGAAGCTCGGGTGCGGACGGAGGGCAGAGAAACACCTGTACGAGTCAGCACCCAGCCCCCCCCCCCCCGCACGCGCCGTGCAGCACCCGACGCCTCCCCGCGGCGCCCACCGCAACTGGCAGAGGCCCTGCGTGCACCGGGGCAGACGGCCTGTGGAAGGGCCGTCGACAGTCTTGACACCGACAAAGTAGATTAGCAGAGCAGACACCGGAATCTGAAAGCGATTTTTATCCCTTCTTGACCTACTTCTGCTCCAAGGTATCATTCCAGGGCCTGGCACATTACCTGCTACATGAGGGGCTGCCGTCGGCCAGCTCAAAGAGCTGCTGGTGTCACCAGAAGGGATTCAGAAAAGCCCCTTAGCCATCGACTCATATGGAGGAGGAGGCTGGCTCCCCAGTAGGTCAGACCAGGACAGTCAAAACTCCCACAGACCCCAGCACCCCCACTGACCACAGGCAGCAAAATGCAGGCCATGAGCTTATTTTCTGGGCCTATCCACCCACAGGCAACAAGGGGCAGGAACTGACCGAGGGGTGGCAAAAGCCTTTGGATTCGATCAGAGCCCTAAAAATGAGGGAGTTTCGGGTGGAAAGAAGGGAGCGAGCCAGAAGCACGTGCCTCCTCTTTACTATCTCTAAATACGCCGCCTCTGTTGTACCATGTGGTAAAGGAAACCTACGACCACCTTTGTTCCCTTGAAAAATAGAACCATTCCATTTCCTACAGATAAAGGAGACTCGCCATGACGCATAAGAGAAAACCAGGGATTTCAACTAATCTGTGTGATGTTCAGTTGTGCCAAACCAAATTGTATTCCAGGCCAACAAGCCATCTCTAGCCGCTCATCACGGAAGGAAAAGGAATTCCGGGCGGGGAGGGTCCCTGGGGCACGGACCCCCGCCCTTCAGAGACACAGCTCTGCTTCCCACCAGGAGGAAACACAGCTTTGTGGCCAGGACAATGGGAGAGCCACAGGCCTGGGGTTTACACAGAGGGAGACGCCGTCGTAGCTCAGAAAGCCAGTCCCCAAAGCAGAGAGTGAATGCCTGAGCAGCAAATGACAAAGGAAATGATTCAGAAGGGCTATCTCGCAAGCCTTCTAGGCCAAAGAGGAGGTCTGGCTGGAGACCCTTTGAGCATGAAGTCTTGTTCTTGAAAGAGAAGAGCAAAGCATCCCGACGTTACTGATCTCTCCCCTCCAGGTTCAGGCCGACCCGAGTTACCTCTCCTTTGTTGGGGTTGAGCGCAGTTGGTCCGTTACTATAGCTTCTGAACTGAAGGACGGAACCTGCCATCACAGACACGGACTCACCCGACAGAGTCACTTAGAACATTAAAGGACGAGGTACGAAAATCATTTCCAAAGCGAACTCCATCATGGCTGCATCCGAGAGCCAGACACATGCTCGGTACGAGACTCCCAAAAACGTAAGTTCCCATACAAAGCTATGCAAGAAGTCTCATCCGGAACAGCACTACGTTTGCAGACACCTCTTTTCTCTTACCTTGGGCTTTGGAGAGAACGTGGCTTCAGCAATTTTGCGGATTAGCAATAAATCAAGTGAACTTCACTGACTGATAATCCAATTCATTTAAAGGGGTAGATTAGGGGAGTATGTGTATCGACACTGCAAAGGCAATGCTTATACCCAGACAGAAAGGAGGCCTACTAAAAAAAAAAAGGAGAGAGAGAGAGAGAGAGAGAGAGAGAGCATCTCAATTAATTTTCCCATCTGTATCAAGTATGCAACGACCAATCTCAATATACGAATAACACAGCACCACAGAAGGTAGTGTGGTCCAGGGCAAAGGGAACCATCGTCCTACTGTTTTATTTTTTTTGTATTCTGAGACTTCATTTAAATGGAATCCTATGACATATACTGCCACGTCTGGCTTCTTCTGCATCATGTTTGTGACTGTCGTTGGCATTGCTGCACACATCAGCCATTACTTTTTTTCCTTGCTGTATAATAGTCTACTGCATGAGTAAACCCAGGAATTGTTACCTATCCTACTTTTGACACGTGTTTGAGTAATCTCCAGTTTGGAACTGGATGGACAAAACTGTGCCAAACATCCGAGTACATCTCTGATTTGTATATTCTTGTCTTTTTTTTTTTAATGTTTATTCATTTGTGAGAGAGAGAGAGAGAGAGAGCGAGCACACACCACCTGGAGAGGGCACAGAGAGAAAGGGAGACACAGGATCTGAAGCAGGTTCCAGGCTCTGAGCTATCAGCACAGAGCCCAATGCGGGGCTCGAACTCACAAACCGTGAGATCATGACCTGAGTCAAAGTCAGACGCCCAAGAGTCAGAGCCACCCACGCACCCCTGTATATCCTTGTCTTTTCTAATGTGGAAATTGAGACCTCGTAACTTACTCAACGGTAGGGCTGGAATCCAGCAATCCTCTGCACAACACCTGCACACTGACAAGAAGAAGCCTAAAGAAGAGAGACTCAACTATTTTCTTAGTCATCTCTCTCGTACCATCTTGTCTCTTCATTTTCCGGGTCCTTCTGCTTCAGGAAATCCCACTTTAAAAGGAGCTATTTTTCCCTTTGCAAGTCCATCTTTCTCAGCAAAAAATCGGAAGGGAAATGCAAGAAACCAATTTTTCCCTAATTGATTCCTAAAATGAATCTACTCTCTAGCAACTTTAATTCTTTTCCCACGAGAAGTGAACATAACAACTCATCCTAGACCCTAAAAAACACAGATGTCTCATCCGTAAAAAAGAACAGAGTCGGGGGCTGGAGGTTGCAAGATGCTGAATCCCCACCCCCCCTCCCCGGCCCAGGTCTCCCGAGCCAGCCTCTGGCACAGTGTTCGCTTTAAAGATTAGAACATGATGACCCGTTAACCTCACCCGTGTAGAACCTCCATAGGCAGAGGTATGGTGAAACAAGCTTTCGTCAGTATTTACATTTGTGATGCGTGGAGATTTGCAATTAAGAAACACAGCAGACCGACGGTCTCCTACTTCAAAACAGAGGGAGAATACCGGTGATCTGAAAAACTGAAAAACAACTATGAATTTCCTAGACAATTGAGCACCTAAAGGTAGTCTTGATGACACGAAGAAGTTCATTAAACTCTCTTCTTCATATAAGTGGGTTTTCTAACCTGCCAATTACAGTTTTCCATTTTCTTCCTAGAATTACACACCGTGTGGATCTCAAATAACACCGTCCCTGGAGCCTTCTTCCTGCCAGCTCACACTGCCCCCCGTGGTTCCATTCCATCCTCCCGTGCATGCATCCATGTTTATCTGTTTTCACTCATGGCCCCTGAAACTTGAGCTGTCCATTACCACCAGCACAATTTCAGTGTTTCCTGGTAGCTTTATTTACAGCGACATGTTTAAGAGATGGAAGGCAGATTTCGATTTTATGGATTAGCCATAAAGCAAGATTTACAGAAAGCTACCCGGACCACTGGGAGAAATACTGGGTCTGCAATAACAACAACACATCCCCAGGGGAATTACACTGGCGCGATCCGTGGCAATGATCCCTCCCACCTGGCATCTTAGGTCCCCCAAGTCCGGCACAGCCCAACATCGGGTCCCTTCCGGGCAGAGCAGGGGGTTATGGGTCCCCGGGCGGTTCATGGATCTGCTCGCACATGTCTCCAGCCGGCTCTCAGCAGCACCGTGGGCCGGCCAGAGAAGTAAACAGGCTGAAAATGAAACTCGGGATGGGGAGTAGGAAAAGACGATAAAAGGAGTGAGTGGGCAGAGTTTGGAGTCACACGTTCAGGACTCCCTTCCTGGGTACCTCCGGATGCCAAAGGACTGGAGGCTTGTGTCCCAAAGGAGGCTGAGAGGTAAGAAGGGAAACGAGGAGGTTTTAGGTCATCTTTCTTCTGGAACGTTGGGACACAATGCCCCAAGCACCACATAGAGACAAATAAAGCATCTCATGTAGAGCAATCTATAAAGAACAGATACCGTGTTAGGCATGATGCTAGGCTCACTCCAGCTCAAGGAACAAGGAAGTAGCAAACGCTGGGTCCCAGGCTTAGGGCTGGGGCTGAGGCCGGGACTCCAGGATGCACAGGCAGAGGCGTGCACACCTGCACCTGCATCTGGAGAGGCCGCGAAGGTAGTTTCCCTCC